TTGGGACCGGGCTCTCTGCTACTGTTTTGCAGCGCTGCATGAGAGCTTCCACCGGACTGTGTTGTGGGGCAGGGGCGCTGCCATAATTTCCTACTTGGCAGCCATATCTGCAGTTCCTTCTCACGAGGAACTCTCGTCTTCGAGTTGTTGATTGGTCTTCTTTGTCTTCATTAGGATTCCCAGTGCTGCACTTCCGTGCGGGCGTTGAGCTGGCACTGTTATTGTGGGGGTGGCTAGTTCAGATTGACCCCGGGGTGACTGTTTGGGGGTTCTGCTGCTACGGCAGCCATAGCCAGGTTTTTTGAGGTGGCGAGGAGGAAGAAGAAGACTCCTGAGTACTTCGTTGAACATTTGATTTTGGTTGAGGGGGGTTGTTGACAACGCGGGGTTGTGATTCTTGGAATAGAGTAGTATGGATTGATTGGAGGAAGACAGGGATAAATCAGAATTGAATTTCATATTCAATTCTCCTTGTGTATTGAGCCTCCGCTGTGCATCTCTCTCTCCGGTTTTGTGTGGATTTGCCTCGCTTGAGTCCACTCTGCAATTGCATGAGTGTATGGGAACATGTAACTTCTTTGTGGATTGAAGTTCAATCTGGTACATGCCATATGCATAAAATACATTCAGATTCAGGAGTTCAATCCAATCCTCTTTGCTAGTGGGACCTGGTCCCTGTGTGGCTGGCTGCACAGGGTACAGTAGAACAAAAAGAAGTCCAAATGCTGCACTATTCTAGAAATAATCAGTAGCCTGAGTGCCTGCCATGTGATTGTCATTCTTATCTACTGTTTCCTCTTCTTTCTGACATCCCGCGTCCAGTGATGAGAAGTGGGCAATCTTTGAAATGCTGTGGGAAATAGTAATCTTAAGGGCTTTTCTGACGAAGAACAAATGACGAGCTACTGGACCTATATATGTTCTCAACTTCTGATCGTCAAATGCGGACTGCAGACTTGTCAGTCAAAGTCTCTAGTGTGATCAGTCATTTCACAAACCATGTTACTGACATTTTTGTTTATTTTTGCAGGAAACTGAGCAAATGCGGACTCCAGGGAACATTACCAGTGCTGGATGGCCTTACGGAGCTTAGACATCTGTAAGTAAAAGTTCTGCTTCCCTCTTTTCTTTTGTGTTTCTTCTTCTTTTTTTTCCTTTTTTTTTGTGCATGGGCCATTCTAATCTCCTCTGTAGCATTCCAATTTTAACGGATGTCCAAAGGACCTTCTTCCCTCTTTTCTTCTCCCTCTGCAGTTTCTTTTTGATAAGTCTGTGTTCTTGCTACTTTTCTTTCTTTGCCACGTCTCTTTTGCTTCCTTGAGGAGAACTTTTGAAAAACGTGGTTGATTTCTATATGAGTGTCTACCTGCGTGGAATTTGAATCGAGTCTGTATTTCAACAGTTCAGGGGTGTACCATCAAACTGCCTCTTTAAGAGTATGGATTGGGGATGCTAAAAACATGAAGCTTTGGGTTGTACTCACAGTAGTACTTTTCCTGGCGTACAGGCGATTCACTCCAGAAGGTCCCACTGTGACTCTGGCAGTATTGGACGGACATGTTTGTTCAAAGAAGAAGACTTGAAAGCTAGATTGCTGGGCCCCAAAAATCCAGCCATGTTTTTGGGTAGGGATGGTCCACGTGGAGACTGGTCTGTGGCACAGTCCTCTAAATGGTCTGCTTATTACAGACAGGCACAGGGAGACTTGATCGTCTCACCAGGTGAACCGCTGATGTCCAAGATTCTTCTCAGTGCTGGGCTGGGCCCTAACTTCACCACAGAACTTGTGATGGAACATATCCTGAGGTGATTTGCCTGGATGATCTCTCTTCAAGACTGATGGCCTAAGCCACATCTAGGCAGGCAAGTGTCTGCAGGAAGAGGTCATTTTTGGATTCCAGAGCCATTGAGCTGGGTCTGGGGATCTCTGAAGTAGTCCATAAAACATATGCTCACATGTAAAAATTCCTCAAATTCTGCGTGGGGATTTTTTTCTTTTCTTTCCYTTTTTTAACCTTGCGTGGCGGCAAGTGCCGGAAGTGGTAARAGCATCTCCCAGTCTGTTTTTGGGGAGCTTCACCTGCTGATATCTATTGGTGGGGAGTTTCACCTGCTGGATATCGAGTCCAGCGTTCCATTTATAAACGATATGCATTTCCGTTCCTCTTTGCAGGTTTTTGACAAGTTCTCGTACAGGAAGTCTTGCTCCATGGAATTSTGGAAAAAGGCACAGCTGTTTTCATTGATTGAACAATACAAACCCAGGAGTACTTAGGATTGCTGGTTGACATGTCGTTTACCCTATGTACATGAGCAGGTTTCATCGCTGATTCCCTTTGTCACTGAAAACAATTGAATGGACTCAGCCTGCTGTGAGTTCATATTATAAATACCCCAGGTGTAATGCTTAACCATGCCTGGTAGACGGTAAGGAGTGCAGGGGCAGTCCTCGAGGTGCGGTATGAGTTTCTGGTTTACAACAGGTTTGAAGCTAGTGATGTCCTTTTCCCTGTAATTTCTCCTCGTGCCTGGAAGAGGGGCGGTATGTGTTTCTGGTTTACAACAGGTTTTAAGCGAGTGATGTCCTTTTCCCTGTAATTTTCTCCTCGTGCCCGGAAGTGATGGAAGCACTGGCTTCATGTCCAAGTTCAAGCCTCTCAGATAATCTTCTGAGATCATTTGCCTCCTATGTTTTTGATGTGCTCTGTGGCGCAGTTGACGCGACGAGAGAGAATCATTTCTGAGAAACACATGCCTTTTTTTAATTTTTCACATCTATTGATTATTTTCACATCCGTTATCTATATTTCTCATTCGTTATTTACTTTTGCATTTGTTCATTTGTTTTCGGGTGCAGGGTGCTTGATGAAAACGCGTTCTATGGACCAATTCCTGACCAATATGGGTCTTTTCCACACCTTGAATCACTGTGAGTTCCATTCTATTTATGAAAGCCTTTCGCCTCGTCCATGGTGCTCTGTTCTTTTCTATCCCGGTATAGTCTCAGAATGGACGACCTTGCTGGAAGTTTTATATTCTCAAATCTTTTTTTTTTTTTTTTTTTTTKTTTTKTTGAAAMAAMAGGGCCTTWTGGTCCTGGCTCCTTYTATCTGAATATWTTCTCAAATCTTGTCAGCAAGTTTTTTGTCTTCTGAATTCTTTGGTGTCATTCCTCTGCCTCCCCTGCCCCAATTTCTCCCCGCATTAACATAGTACTGAAAGTGTTTCACTGATGCAGACCTGGTTCCACTCCCATTTCCCAGTTCCATTGGCAGTCCCAGTTGTGCCTATCTTATTCAGTAAGTCCTTGGTAAGGTCGTGTTTGTAAGCCGCCGTAGGAAAATTCCTGTAGGTAGCCCCGCAAGGGTCAGAAAAGACTAGAAAGTTGTTAGGCCCTTTTGTCAGTTCAGTGCAGTCAGCAGCAAAGTCCGAGGAAAGTCTCCGGACTTCTGGAAGCGACAAACATCGCCACTGCCAGACCSATATCTGGTCTGAAGAGTCCGGGAAGCGAATCATCTAGTACAGAAGTCCATTTGTTGAAGTCATCAGCAGATATTCACTTGCGAGTCCTTGTGGAAGCGCTTCCGCGGTAATTTTGGATGCTGTGCGGTGTGGCATTTCGGTTCTGCTGTCTTGYGCTGGCCGTAGGAAGGAGTCAATGGCGCTGAGTGCCACAGCTAGGTTAGATGAGTGAGCAAGAGAACAAGGCTTGTTCGAGAGGGTGTTCAGAGAGACAAGATTTTGGACCCAGAGAGGGAGAGAGGACTGAGGCAGAGATACTGAGACCATACCTGTGAAAATCGGCTTGGCAGCCAAAGCTGCTTCCTGTACAAAAACAATTCTGTGTAATCGAGTTGATTGGTGGAGACTACTTTCGATTTACATYTCCCTTGTGCTTTTGTGTGCGTCATCTTGTGTGTGAGCGGATGGAATGAAATTGTCGTGAGCGGTTGTTCTCAGAGCAATACTCTATAGCCAAGTGGGCTGTGGGCGCCTCACTGTGTGCCAAATTCCAATGCTTCTTATGCGCAGCTGGCCTTCAGATCATGAGGCAGACAGTCGGAGATGAGCACATCTCTTCCGATATGCCCATTTTATGCTACACGGGCAAACAAACCCCTGATGATGTTAGCGAACCTCTCTCCTCCGTCATAACTTAAAGGTCATGGCCACGTTTGGGCTACGGTATCCTAAGGTATGATGCCAACTCGTTATATGGCAAGAATACAAAATACGGGGGAAACGACATTTCTACGGTCACAAAACCGTTGCACATAAAACCAGATCAATAACACTCAGCTGAATAATGTATGGTTTGTTGATATGAGCAACAGCCTCTCCCTAATACAGAATACAGGGGAAACGACATTTCTACGGACCAATAACACTCGTCTGAATAATATATGAAAACTTGTTGTTATGGATTGCCGAAATCCAGACTTACAATAGCACCACACCCGTTGAGCCTGAAAGTCAGGTTGCTTTCTCGACATCTTGTCTCGGAGGAGTGGCCAAGGAATGGGTGTTGGCCGAAGCCAATGCTGTTGGCTTCGAGGATATCGGTGAGTGGGCCAAGACACTTACTCTCAGGCAATTTCTCCAAAAGATTAAGGAGAGGTTCCTGGATAAGACGACGATCGAGAAGGCCTTTTAATTAAATCACCACTATAGGCTAGAAACGATGGACTTCTGTCGATGCGCTGTCTCGTGAAGTGGATCGTCTGTTGCAGGTACCTGGATTGAATTTACAAGACAACCAGGTTCTCTATATCTACTCACGTGCCTTGCTCGAGCCCATTCGTGGACAGCTTGTGGCGGAAGCCAAGTCTGGTAAGTTTAACTATCGGTAGTTTCGTGATCTCGCTCTCCAACGAGAGAAAATGACCGCACAGGTAAAGAGGTCTTACGCTTCGGTGGTAAAGTCAGGACCGGTTCATGGTTATAGCAAGCGGGTCCTTTGGCGGCAAAAGCGCCAGGACCACATGCTTGCAGTATTTGATGATGATACGGTAGAAAAGTTACCTCTTGATGAGTCAGGGAGGAGGTAACGGCGGCAGTGAATCTGGGAAGGGTGATGTCACTAATTTGATGGCCAACAAGGGAGGCCAAAACCAATGGAAAAAGAAGATGAGGCCACGCTTGTTCCCCGAGCATCCTAACATAGCATTTGGGAAACGATGGGACAAGATGAACATGACACGTGAGGAATGGCAGTCCAACATGGACAATCGTCAATGCCTCAAGTGTGGCACCGTGGGGCATGTGATCACCAGATTCCCACTTATTAGGAACCCAAAAGCGAGCAGCCAGTAGGAGTAGCATCTACTCCTACTGAGTTGAAGGGATTAGACGAAGATAAAGGTAAGGCGCCTATCACCCCTTCTACCCCTTCGACTCTTAAGGCAGAGGATGACTCTTCTTTCGCCCGTCGTCCTGAACACCCTGACACTGTACTCTGTTCTGTCTGACTGGACGATTCCCGTGACGAGCTCGGAAACAAACTCATAGCACTATGGAGTTTGTGGGCGAAGAAAGCTAAGTCTAAGGGTGAGCTGATGATCGCGGATATTGAGATTGCGCACACGCGAGTAGATACCCTGTTAGATCCAGGATCGACGCGGTCTTATATCTCAGAGAAGGCAATTCGAAAATTGCATCTGGGAATGAAGGTAAAAGACTTACCTTGACCTATTACGCCTATATATTGGCCTTGACCTATTACGTCTATATTGGCTGACAAGAGCACGATCATTGTCTCTCAATACGTCGATCGTGTTAAACCACCAATACTCTCTTGTTGTTAAGGCCCAACCCTCCCACTCGCTACTTGTTGCTCGACCCTGGCCAAGCCTACACCTATCAGTAGTTGGGATTAGAAACCTAAAACGAAGGGGGAAAAAAAGGAAAAATAAAAATACTAGAATTACTTGATTAAAAAAAAAACGAAAGCCAATGTCGGTTCTGTCGACAAACGCGTCCAGAGGGGGGGGGGGGGGGGGGGGG